GAATTTCTTACCGCTAGTTTTGATGAGCTTTCCAATGTATTCATAAGCTTTCACCTTGTCTGGAAAACAAAAAAGTAGATTGAAATTAACAAAGCGATATAAAGGTACCTGGCTGCCTGGTAAGGTCAGTTCGATGTTCAATGTTGGAATTACTAAGACCCTGCCACATAAAAACCGGCGCTGGGCGCGGTCCAGGGCGGAACGCTATGACAATTGGGCGGCAGTTGTATTCCACTGAGTTTTCTACAACCGTCCACAACCACACAGAGCGGTAGCAGCGGGGCGCGGTCTGGGAACGGGGCTTTAGCGGGACCTTAGCGGACTTGGACGTTGTGTTTTTTTTGCAATTCTTGAGTGTGTCTTTATTAAGTGTCAATATGAATTAGACCGAAATTTTCGTTGCGTTCCATCCGTAACGCTAATTTGTGTTAATCTTTATACGACAGCTGTGTGGTGCTTTATTTAAAATCTGTGTAAAAAATGAATCACTTTTCCGACACCATCGGATCACTTTACCGTTGCCTCTGTTGCAAATTCACCCCTGGAGCACTTTTCCCGCTGTACCGCCTCTGTATGGCTTGAGCTTAAATGGGAGAGTTTTTTATATTATAGGACCCTTCTCAAACCCCTTTAGAAGGACTCCATGCTGTATTCCTACGGGTAAAACCCCGACAGGGAGTTCTTTCCACAACCTAATTCTACGAGGGAGGAAGCTTCTCTGAAACCATACAGTACGAGATCGACTCGGTTCCAGAGTGTGAGGATGGACTCCCTGCCGGCGACGAGCGGTGCGATGGTAAAATGATGCTGTTGTCATCATATCAAACAGTTCTTCAGAACATTCTCCATTTACGGAGTAATAAAATTTGACATACATTCATTGACTTACAATTATATGGACGTCGGGTCCGCGCTAAAAAGTGTCCGCACTTATAGGGCGCTAAAATCGTATACAGAGCGGCATTCACGCTCTAGTCTTCGTTTGTTCGACTGACAGCGCGATACTGCGATGACATTACAATTTAAATTTCGAATAGGTTGACTTGGGACATTTTTTTCGTGGTTTTTGTATTAGACCCGTCGTCCATTTATTTGTAAGTCAATG